ATGTCTCAGCAACTATTAGATAGATTGGCATGAAATATGGCACACTCATGTCCCCCTCAGGATGAATTCTTATAACATTGCTTATCCCTTAACCTTTAATCTAGTGCCATTATCAGGTCAATTGTGCGAATCACAATTGACCTGACCAATACTTTAATCACCAAACATCCCATCAGCCTCAGCTACACTTTGTGTTTAGTGGTAACTAGCAAATATTGGTATGATGTGCTACGGCATGTAGCACACTAAACTATTATGGCTAACATGGTAAACATCAATCCTGTTAGCATTGTCATTGTGAGAATGTTAGCATGCAGATGTGGCATATAGAGTATGTATTATGCCCTTCATTTGCCTGGTTACAGACACCTTGTCTTTTTTAACTTTTTTCTTCCACTTCAGTTAATTAAATTTTCCTCTTATAGTGTCCATCATTTGTTCCTCATTGTGTGTTGTACAACACCACACCACAACTAGCTTCAAGTGGCTAAGTGGCCTGTACATTATACAGCTCACTTTCCAATTCCCTACACATGGATATTGCCTTGTAATGAAGCCAAGTTCACCAGGCCAAGAGAGTCTGTCGGGGTGGGGGCTGAGGGGAGATAGAGTAAAACGAGAGTTTGAAAGCTCCACAATTAAAGCGGTATCTCTTTGAAATCCCTGGCCAGGCTTGGCTACTCCATTCAAGCTTTCCGCTCCCTATCGGCCTATTATCTGATCTGGAGGGGAAGTGAAGTTTACACTGCTGATAGCTGCTCTGAATGATGCTGCCTGCGCACAACTCTGACTCTTGATGACCTCAATGACCATCCACTGAGAACACACACACACACACACACTCACACACATAAACACACAAACTCACAGCTGTAGTGACTGTTCCATTGAGAAACACGGAAAAAGGCCAGTTCACTGAATGTGGTGGCCACACGCTGCAGTTAAAGGTGAGGAGTGTCTTTTTAAAGCATTCTCATCGCCACATGTCGGCTTCATGGAGTCAAATGGCCATTCATTGAGAAACTTGAAATAGTTATTCTTAGTTTGAAATGAAGGGCGTCTGTAATAACTATACAGTGACTACGACAACACATTAAAGAGTTAATGGTCCAGTTAAAGTTGTAGTTGCTGCACATCAAAACACTACCAACTGTTTTTACTTCTCTGTGACCCCAGTGCTGTAAAAATATTTTATGGAGAGTTCTGGGAAAAGGGAATAATTGTGAATGAAAGGTTGTATTTTAAGGGGTTTGTGACCTACAACTGCCCATGTTGATGTTTTAGGTTGTACTCTGAGGAAGAATCTTCAAATAACAAGAAGAACATAGGAAGAAAACCATCTCCTGTGCAAAGGTTAGCAGATTTGGGAGTTCTTTTGTGATTGCATAGGCTATTCTGAGGACCTCAAGTGTGTACAATTCATTATAACCACGGATTTTAAATGCTAACATTTCAGTGACCCCTATGATCATAGCTAATTAGTTCCATCATACTGGGAAATTAGTGCTAACTGGAGCAAAATGCAGGGTGGCCCATGGCTGTTTACTTGCTGATGTTGGTTTTGTGAACAGCAAAAGTCGTGATTATGAGAGGTGGTGTGAAATTTATTGAAATGATGTTCTCTCTAAAAAATGATTATGACTCTTTGTAACACCACAGGCCTGCACATGTAATGACCATAATGACAGAGGGGACAGAGCGTCTTGGCCTGTTTTGGCTCAGTAAGGATCCTGCGGGCAAACATCACCCTCTCTTTATATCTTCACCACAGGCATTTCATATGAGGCTTTTGTTTTAGGTATGCACCTGCAAATCCAAGTTAGCCTCCTTGGCTAAGGATGGCGGTGCATGTTGATTGCACACAACAAATGAGCTGTAAAGTCATGTGCCAGCTGTTAGCGTTTATCACCACATAAGGTCTGGGGTGGGAAACATCTACAGACGCCTGCAGTGATGTGTCTCTGAGTGGAGTGATGACATACGGGCCAACTGAGTACAACTCGTGCTATAACTCAAGTTAGTTCTAGTCTTTAAAATTTGGGATAAGTTTCACTTTTTAGGAATATCTCTTTTAGAAATGACTGACAACAGATACTTGTAGTGTTTTTTTTTGTTTTTGTTTTTTTTTTACAATAAAACAATACCCTTAATAACTAATCCTAATAATAAGTCTCCAGATAATGTGTTATGGATTGATGTATTGTATGCCTTGGCTTTAATTTTATCTGAAAATGGCTTACTCTCAGTCATCTGTTGATTTATCATCATATGTTTTGGTTATGTGCTAGTGCTATCATTAAGTTAAGAACAAGACTACCTTTAGTAAGCAATGTTTTCGTAACTTCTCAGACTGTGAGTTTGGGCACAGTTCTAATCTTATCTTCAAGATAATACTCATACTGTGTGTTTACCATGGCCCGCTCTTGACATGTTAAAATTACAATCATTCATTCATGTTTTCAGACCCACTTACAACAGGCAATCCCAGCATTCACTGCTCAGATACTATGAAAACAAGTTTGAACCCTCTTAAAAGCAGTGTGGTTGCTATTAAAAACCACTTAACAACCTGCTGCCTTGTACTATTATAGTGTTACACAATAGATACAGTATATCTATGTAGATGCATCTCATCCAGACAAAATAAATTATCAGTTGCCTCTCATACACAATGTGTGTATGTGTTTGAGCACTGGTGGTGAGTAAATGCTGTAGACTGAACTACAAGACTGTAAAGACTGAAACTATAAAATTAGTTGCAGTCTATGTAGGAGCATATAGACAGCTGCAATGTAGCTTCTGGCCACTAGTTGCGGCACTGACTGCAATACTGCTGAGCAGCATTTTAAGCAGTAAGTGAGGAAAAAATCTTCCGCCATCTTTGAGTTAACATCTGTTGGTACATTAATCAATGTGACTCACCCACCTCTTTTCTGTTAGTCAGTCATGTATTAATTTATTTCTATAAACCTACTTTACGTATTTTAATCACTTAAATTGCCCTCTGAGCCTAGTTTAACCTACAGGACTTTTCTGTTGACTTATACTGCATGTTTTTCCACCATTGAGGAAATGAATTCCTAACATCTTCATGCTATGGCAGAAGTGGACTAACACTAGGCATCTTTTAACCCAGTGGTGATGAACTGCGATCTTTGGAAATCACCAAACAGCTGAATTTACACAAAAAATTGTTAAATATTTGATTATTTGGCTGTTTATTCTATCAATGAACTGTACATTGGAAAAAATATTCACATTACAAGACATCAAAAAATATATTACTGAAGTATAACCTTGATTTAGTATTTAGGATTTTGTGGCAAATAGCAGTGAAATACTACTCGCCTTCCAAGCACATAGGAGAAACTACAGTGGCCCTGAAACTCACGAAAAATGCAAAAGGTGGTATCTAGAGTCAAAGTTTGGTTTGTCTGTTCCAAGCTACTGTAGAAACATAGTGGCTCAACATGGCGGACTCCGTAGAAGACAAGGACCGCTCCCTCTGTAGATAAAAAATGGCTCTAAGGTAAAAACATGAATTCTTATTTTCAGGTGATTATACACTAATGAAAACATACCTATGAACATTCAACAGAGCCTCCTAAATGTAACACACTGGACATTTAATTTCTATTTTCAAGAATGATCTAGAAACAGGTTTTAAAAAAATTGGGCTCATATAATCTGGGTAGTTGATGATCCAGCTAACATGTCATGGCAGGAAAAACACAGTTATACTTACTCACATTAATTAGGTTCCATTTAGTTGAGTCAGATCCAGTGTCCAGGTATTGTGTGTACTCACTCACTAGCCTGGCTTTCTGGGACACTTGACTGGAATAGAGCTGTCATTAATAGTGTTAGTTGCACCTGTGCTTTTCCTGCTGTGATAAGCCTAAATGTCTGCTGGGAAAAGGACCTATATTCTATGGTATAACTGCATTATAGGTCATTTTATGGTGGATATTATTAGAGTTTTAGAAAATCTTATAGTTATATATGGCTGAGACATAATCTTTTTTTTTCACATACATAAAAAAATTATCTGTTACCATAATGTGTACTGAGCGGAACATTTTGCTGTTTAAAACCAAACTTCTCAGTGGTCTCTGGTGGACGAACTTTGCAATGGCGACACTGTTTCTGAATTCCCTCAAACATATTTTTGGCATTTCTGTCCTGTCCGACATATACAATGAAACTGATATGTCTGCGATGAGCTAATAGATATTTTATCAGTCTGGCTTTAATGCATTAAGCCAATTTGAAATATATAGTAGAAGAAGTTAACAGAACAAGTTGTGTGTTCTGTCTGTGTATGTGGGGTGGGAGGGGTGTATGAATGAGGCAGGAGACTGTGACTGGATACCCCTCTCTTTGATCCTCCACATTACAAAGGCACCTACAAAGGCTCCCATACAGCCTGTAGCATTGTTCTGCTGAGGAGACTATAGCTCATAAAACCATTACCATTATCCCTACACAATACCGTTTCCAGCACCTACTTAAGACCTCAAATCACTACTGTATATGGCTACGCTGCTTGCCAGTTTGCATTTTGTCACTCTGTGATCCCATGAACTTCTAAGTATACAGCCATGCCCAGATTATCTCGCTTGTGGCCCCAGGGCAGGCATTTCCTATGGGCCCCACCTCACTGTCATGGTCACCAATCTGTTCTGTGCAACTGCCCCCCCCCCCCAACCAAAAAAAACCCTGATTAACCCAAAGCTATTGGAAGTACTCGAGTGTGTCAATGTCTATAATAAATAGAAATTTACAATTGAATCACCTCATAAATCATGAAGTCAGTTAATTGGGGCACTTTTTTTTGGTCACTGGGGGCCTTGAGTATGGACCCTGTATAGGCTGGCCCAAACACAGTCACTGATCATATCACATCATCCCAAGTGCACATACGCGACCACTCCTGTCACCACAGTATATAACGGGAGTGGCTTTGTAGCACCAGTGTACCTTGCCTGGCCGATCCCGCCCCTAGCAGTGGAGAAAGCTGGTGCACAGGCTTGCAACGGAGCCCATCGCAGTTTGACTGTTTGAGCAGCCCACCCCTCTCTGCAGTATGCATGTTCGCCAGGGAATCCGCGAAGCGCTCACGTCCCAGCAGTGTGTTTCACCGGCCAGAGACCATCTACTCAAGAGTCGAGGATAATAAAATTGGATGTGGCAGGCGGACCGGAGGCGGAAAGCCCGGAGTGACCGGAGGAATACAGTATTACTACAGGAATACAGGCTGCCGCTCTCCTCTGAACGTGGACAATCATGCATGTGCTCTTCTGGGGATTGGGGTTCCTACTATTCCCTGATTTCTTGAATGTGGTCGCATCTACGGGGACATTGTTTTTGAATTCAAGCACAGGTAAAGTATGCTCTGACAACCCCCAGCATTTTCCCCCCGCATGGAGTTATTTTCTAAAACGGAGGGCGCAGAATGAATGAGTTTTGAATTCAGCCAAGCACATGAGTTGCAGCGCTTTCTAGTACCTAAAGTTCACTGACTGATTATCATTTCCTTGCAATGCTGTAAAACTGTTTTTTCAAGAAAGGAGACATCTATATGCAAACCATATTCTATCGATGAACAGATCTTGGCTGTTTGATTGGTACTGGTGGTGTTGGGATTCTTCTCATTTCTTAATTGCATTATTATTCTTCTGTCTTTATTCCCCAGTAAAAGAGGAGATCGCCGCTTATGAGATTGTAACACCGGTGCGAGTGAATGAAGCCGGTGACAAGTTTCCAACCAGTGTGCACTTCAAGAGGAAAAGACGAAGTTTGGACGAGAGCACCGGCAATACTACGGATCACTGGGCCTCGCCAAATATCCACTACAGAATATCTGCTTTCGGACAGAATTATCACCTCAACCTCACGCTGGATTCGGGATTTATCGCACCTCTCTATACTGTGACAGTACTTGGAGTACCCAGAGGAGATAACATAACGGATTTTGCAACAGATGGGGAGCTAGAGGAGGAGGAGGAGGAGGAGGACACGGAGTTAAGGCACTGCTTCTATAAGGGACATGTAAATGCACAAGCAGAACATGCCGCGGTCATCAGTTTGTGCTCCGGACTGGTGAGTTTTTACGCACGGTTAGACTCGCTGTGCATGTGATGACTTTACGACCGGGTGTTTTACTTTTCCACCATGGGTATTTAGGGGCCATTATTGCTTATACAAGACTTGAAAAGCTGCCTCACCACTGCCTTAGAAAAATTTTTTAAAATTACAATTTTGAACTTTTGCGCAAACTTTGCGCCGAACCTGCTTTTTGTATTGATCGTGTAAATATGAAACTTAATCAGTCGCACACTATTGCGTTTTTAAACATGTTTTTTTTTATCTGGGGAAGAATACAAAACTGCGCATGCTCCAGTGAAGAATACAAAGTTGTATATTTTGGTCACAATTAAGTGAAGCTGAAGCTGATTTTGAAAACAATTTAAAGAATAACTAAATTATTTATTAAAGCTTTTATGTGTAGTAAGATCAGGTGCTTCAAGAGACTAAATAACTCAAACTAATGAACTATGCTGACTTGCGAGAGTCCCAAGTCCATTGCCTATGGTCAAGTTTAATGAACGCTCTATCTTACTTCCATGTCTCTCTGTGTTCTCCCGGTTGTCGGTGACGTCTTTACGCACGCTAGTATGGGTGGTACTGACGTCATCACAAATTGGTCCCACTCTCAGGCTAGCTGAAGCATGAGTTTTGGAGGGGAGCAAAAGTGCACGTTGAGTTTATCCATAAAAACCACAGTGAGGTGACAGATATGAGTAAGGGGTCAATTTCTTCCCAAATGATAAATCAAATGAACAATGCTCTGAAAGCTCCGCTCTGTAGAGCGCTTTAGGGAGTTGAGCTGACATTTATGGAGCATCTTTTATTATTTATTCAAGACCTCTGAGGGCACATTCATTCTAAAACAGGCAATACTGCTGGTCGCCACAATTGCATTTTATTTCTGTGCATCCTAAAATAATGCACTTGTTTTCTTGCAGGGAAACTCAGAGGAGATTCCCTTTTGCCCTGCCAGCTCCCAGGTCAATCAAAGTGCAGTTCCTAGCATAGTTATAGAACTAGTGTCTTGCAAGAAGCTTCTCCTCATTCCCCCTAGCTGAAGAACAGTCCACCCACCTGCAATTTTTTGCACATGCACGAGAATTCCGTACTTCATACTTTATTATCAGGGATTATAAATATGACTTGTGCCAAACATAATTGTGCCAAACTTGTATAAGCCCAGACGGCTGCCATGATGATTCTCCACAGCCATTGAACAACAAGTGAAATGTGCTTGGGTTGGCATGTACCTTATCTAAAACATCGTAGACCTCCAAGTCAGAAATTCACACTAAACGTGCCATGTGAAATACATATAACAAGGCTTTCAGTACGCTTGCCAAGAACATACAGTCTCACTGTTTACCTGATAGGCATCGCATATCTCACTATTATCCCTTTCCTCATGTTTTAGGACCATTCTTACATGCATGCAAATTTATGAAAGCCCTTGGGTTTCAGCATTGCTTATTTTCTTTAATGAATAGTGCATGAGTCACATTCCTGCTATAAGTGCTATAAATATTTAAGTAAAACATACATTGCATTAGAGTTGTATGGTGGCTCACTGATTTTTTAAACTATATATTCCCCATGGTCCTGTCTGTGTAGATTTTGCAAGTTCTCCCCATGTTTGCACATGTTGTTGCTGAAAAGGAATGAGCATTTACAGACGATGGATGGATGGAGAGTAACTGCTCTGCATTGTTTTCTGCTACCCAGCTTGGCACTTTCAGGTCTCCAGAAGGGGAGTATTTTGTGGAGCCCCTACACAGCTATCAAGGGGAACACTATGAAGAGGAACACACAAAACCTCATGTTGTATACAGGAAGAGTGCACCCAAGAAACAACAGACATCTGGGGAAAACTCAGCTTGTGACACTTCAGGTATGGTGTATTACACGATGGATGTGCATGCATGCAATGTACATAGACAAAGGGTCACAAATATATACAGTATACTACTGTATGTGCAACTGGTGTTGCACATACAGTTGTATACCGTAGAGCACCGAGGTGCTCTGCCAATGAGCTGACTTAAATATCTGCCCCAGTCAACCATTACCCAGTGTCCTCTTTCTCGCTAATCAGCATACTGCTGCGTCTGAGCCTGAATGAATGAATGAAGCATGGGCCTCCGCAGGAGGGCTTATAGTGTGTAAAAGAACTGTTTGTATGTTGTTGGCTCCATTTGCATGTTAAGGCTGATTGGGAAGCAAGAGAATTTAACGTTGTGCGTCACCACGTGGCATGTGTTATGTGACCGTTTAAATTTTTAAACACCGTGTTACCAAACCAAAGTCTAAGATAATAACTGAGCTTATTCATTCATATTAATCATGATGAAGGCTTATCTGGTTGAATACAAGCAAAACCTTTGAGTGTGTTTGGATATTGAGGGGGATTTTGAAAGGCAAAGATTAAAACAAAGAAAATGGCTCTGAAGGGCTGGATTTTTTATTGTGAAATCATAGACCAATGGGAAATAGAAATAATGAAAATTATGATTGATTGATATTGCTGAATATCGTCAACCATTCAGTTGTTATGTGCTGTTTATTGTGCTATAGTCATAAAATGGCACTATATCATTTGGACATTTTCTCCATCATTGGGCCACAAACAGAAGCATAATGACAGAATTAAAGTGAACGTTTGGTGTGAAGCTATCTGGGCTCTCATGTCGTAGCCTGCACAGTGCAGTGCCAACAGCTGCAGCACAGTAGTGACTGAGGAAGCTTTCCAACTCTCACACAGAAAAAATCATTTGGAAGTTCACCCTTGTATCATCCCATCTCAGTTTACTGGCTGAACTTCCTGTTGACTCTTGTACTTCCTCTGCCTCTTTGATAAGAAAGTTGGGTAGACCCACTGCCATGAACATGCAGTGTAAATTGTCCGATAGCAAAGTCATGCCAACTTGAAACTGTCAAATAATCAAACCTATAAAAATAAATCTGGAAATATTTTCTCTTTATCTGTTGGACAGCTTTCTGCAGATGTTTGGTTTAACTGTGTATATAAAAGTGTGTGTGTGCTCTCGTCCTTCGTATTTTTGTGTGTGTGTTTCTCTTGTGGCCCGTTTTGTAATACAGTATGCGTGTGTGATATCATAGCCTAGAGGAACATAAAGTTGACTCAGAGCCATTTTTGGCCAAGAATGATTCATCCTTGTACAAAGTTCCATTGTTACCTAGTAGGTTTTGAAGTATAGCAAATTGTTCTCCTTTGATCTGAGTCGTAAATAATGTATACTGAAAGTAGATCCACTCTTATGCTGTAATCAGGCTCACTGTTATTTGGGTGGTGATGCACTGCTGGTGGTCCAGAAAGGCTGATTTGCATGTAATGATAAAACAAATTCAGCAGTTTTGCTGCCGTGTCATGATTAAAATCAGACTTAATTCCCCTCAGTGTGGAGAACATTTGCTGCTCAGCTGTTAAACTGCCTTCTTTTGGTGTGTGCACTGCAGTTTGTGCTCCATTTTTTTATGGCAGGGTGCCAGGTTTACCTAGCCTGAACTCTTTGCCCTCCTCTCTCCCCTCTTCTCAAAGAGGAGGGAGAGAGAAATAAAAGGCATTCCAGGCAGTGTTCATTTGTCAACCCACTCTTTAAGCAACAATAAACAAAGGAGAGAAAGAGGCAGCAACATATTTTAACAATGCCCACTTGTTCATGCATCTCCACCTTTAAATACATAAACCAAAACTTTAGCTTAATTGTAAACACATTGTCACAACAAACACTGATTCATACTTTGTCTGTTTATGACTGAATGTATTTCCCATCATCCCTCCATCTTTGAATATTTACTCATGCTTCGTTGCTTCTGACTTCTCTCCAGGACACAAACAAAGACATAAGAGACACAAGCTTAAGAGAAGACCGGTGGCTGGGGTGACCGCCGCGTCAAATGCAGCCCCTGTGGTCAGTGCTGGTATATTCAATGACGTGGAGTCACTGAGTGCTGGCCTGGCCAGCGATGCTTTGCTCAGATCAGAGAGCGGCGGTGCTAGCGCTAGACCATCAAATGATAGCAGCGGTGACTCAGGACCTCACAGGAGATCAAAGCGCTTCCTCTCCTACCCGCGCTTTGTTGAAGTCATGCTGGTGGCCGACAGCAAAATGGTGGAGCATCACGGCAGCAACCTACAGCACTACATACTCACATTAATGTCCATAGTAAGTTCTGCTCTGTTAATTTGCTTCATGGCTGCTAGTAGAGAATGTTTGGCGGGTTGGAGGGAGATGGAAGTATGTTTATGTGTCTATGTACTATGCACATATATGGACCGAAAGTAGCTTCAAGTGTGCATATATGTGCACTAAATATATGTACCTGTTCTCCTGCGCTGTTTCGTGCTGAAAGTCAGTCAGCCAGCCTTTTGGAGGAGGGCCGTGGGAGGGAAAAGGGCAGCCTAGGGCAGGGGTAAACACCACTTTCAAACGGCCAGGGGGAAGAGAGGGCAGCTTGAGGTAGAGTCTGCCTGACAGCTTTGATGAATGTTAAAAATAAGCTCAGGTATGTCACATAGACCGCATACTCTGGGCCACTTCAAATACCAAGTTCTGCAGGCGCCTGGGGCCGACAGTCCTCAGGGGGAGGCTGAGATGACCTATATTCTGATCTTGGCAAAGGCTGCCTTCCCCACAGGGGCTCGGGCCATTTTCAACTTGATCTTCCAATCAACCAAATTCCCCGGTACTTGCTTGAAACCGCAGGCAGTCAATGATAGAGGAACCAGGAAATATGTTGTGTCACATTTCAGCTGGGTTAAGTTACTGAAAATACTATAACATATTGATTCTAATATTAACAGATATCATCAAAATGTTTAGAGGTGACTTCATGTTTTGTTTCTTGTCTTCAGGTATCTTCCATCTACAAGGATCCCAGCATTGGCAACCTGATTAACATTGTGATTGTAAAGTTAGTCATAATAAACAATGAGCTGGTAAGACTGCTAAGTTTGTTTTAATCTCCATACTTGCACACTTGCAACAAGTATGTGGTGTGAATACTTATCAATGAAATCATACCTTCTTATTATTTCTCTTTGTATGTTTTCCAGGATGGTCCAGTCATTTCATTTAATGCACAGACCACTTTAAAGAACTTCTGCATCTGGCAGCAGAGCCAGAACATCCTGGATGATAACCACCATTCCCATCATGACACTGCCATCCTAATCACCAGGTGCAAGACATATATCAATTTGTTTGCTGCGTATGGTATATACAGGTTTTTAGGTTTTAGACAAATAACATTGTAGTAAGTATAAATTCTTAGAGAATCAAAGGCATAGATCAAATGGGGTCCAGATGCCCGATGAATGGAGCTGCTGAAAATTAACCCAAATAATGAGGGTCCCCTGAAGGTTGGGGAAGTGTTTTGTACAGTTCCATTGACCATGACCCATTATCTGTGTCTTTAACACAGGCAGGACATCTGCAGAGCAAGGGATAAGTGTGACACCTTAGGTAGGTGAAAAAGACTTAAAGCGCCAATCTAATATATGCTGTACATCACATGCTGATGATGGTGAATGGGACATTGTAATGGTGGACTATAATGGTGAAAACTGAAGTGAGTCTTTTTTTTCTTGTTTTTAAGGACTTGCAGAGTTGGGGACGGTGTGTGATCCATACAGGAGCTGCAGCATCAGCGAGGACAATGGACTTAGCACTGCATTCACCATCGCCCATGAACTTGGCCATGTGTAAGCACAGCGTTTTTTTTACTGATTGTTTACCTAAAGTAATGTCACTCTCCTGCTACGTGAAAGTTTTGGACTCATTTAAAACAATAAATTGCGCTTGTGTAAAATACGCGTGTACATTTGCTTCTGTGTATTTCATTGAGATATTAAGGTGTTAAATACAAACAAAAGAGGCCATAGGAAAATTTGAAAACAGTTAATCAAGCCTGAATACAGCTCAACAAGTCTTAATCTCCAAAATTCTTTAATTTGCTGTTAAATATACTCATGGATCAAACATTTGAAGAAGTCAAACCTTCTTGGGACCCTGTTGGTAGAGCTTTAAAAATCAGCAGATGGGCTTCAAGGAATGTTGCATATTTGGACAGCACAACAGCCGTACATTCCTTTTCTTTTTCCCAGTATTTTCTGATGCTTGTGTGTGTTTCTGATCACAGCTCCTCATTTTTGCCCACCTTTCATCTTGAGAGGAAAAAGAGAGAGAAAAGAGTCACTAAATTGGATTCTCAGAATTTAAGCAAAACCACTGGTTGTTGGCCGCTTCCCTTCAGCAAACTCTGCATTGTCCAGCGTCCTGAGTCAGCCAGAGCTGGAGAGGGGTGGGGGTGTGAGCCTTCTACAGTGGAGACTGTTACGAACCTTAACCCCCCCATCATCTCTAACAAATGCTGCTTCTAACAACCAAACAAAAGGTGTGATTGTTCAATTCCACGTTTATCCGCATCAAGCTGTGACAACCTGCTTGACGACTGCTTAGCCCCCGAGCTCAGTGTTGTATGGTACCTGTCAGGTGGGGAGCTGAGTAGCTCACAGGGAGGGCTGCGTGCAGTGTGGTGCTGTACCTGTCTAGCACCAGCCGGGATCCTATTTGTTCACCCTGCAGGAGCTTGAATGCTTCTCTTATACTCACTGTGCTCGGATTTTCACATATACATTTTTCTGCTTTGTCTGGTGTCCCAATGTTACATATATTATATAATTTAATATATGCTGGTTTCCTTCCCAACTCCCCACAGACAGACAATACACACGCTCTTCATTATTTTTTAACTGCAGCATTGAATGGGTTTCTCAAAGCCAATAACACAGTGACAGTAAAAATATTGAATCAATGTTTAGATTTAAAACATGTGGCCAAACAAATTAAACACAGTGAAGCACAAAAAACAACTATTTTTGTGTTTGGAGCCTCGTCAATGTCGGTTTGAGTAACAACAAATGAAAATTTTTATGTCCCAGCCAGAAGAAATATATTGGCATTTATCACCATATTACTGGTTTTTGTTTCATTCATCTCAGCCAAACAGTGGCTTTACAGAGCTGTGCATCTGCATGACATGAACTACAACAAACAGAATTATTACTTCTCTTATTAATGAAACGTTTTTATGATACCTTAACCTGTTGTTCTGTTTTCTCTGCTAGGTTCAACATGCCTCATGACGACAGTAACAAGTGTAAGGAGGACGGAGTTAAGATTCAACAACATGTGATGGCTCCCACACTTAACTACAACACAAACCCTTGGATGTGGTCCAAGTGTAGCAGGAAGTACATCACAGAGTTCCTCGAGTATGTCACACTCTTTTTCTTCAAGATTGTTCCAAACATGCATGGGGATTAGATTATGTAGAAAATGTTTTATTTTGAACAACTGAAACAGACTGAAATTAACAGGATATGCAATGTAGTAAGGAAAAAGTGTACATTTTAACTTGTGAGACTTAATTCTTTTTTTTATCTCTGGCCAAATATCCTTTGGGAATGCTTTATGTAGAAAAAACTATTACAGAGATTTCACTAATATGTTTCCTTAAATATACAAACACATACACAGAGTATGCATGCTTTTCATCCCACTTTTGGCAGAAAAGGCAGAAATGCCAATAAAATGTCATAATTTCTCTGGGCTGAATGAACAGGGATCTCCTACTGTAGAGTAAATGGGATAGTATCTGGAAACTATCCAAAATACCTTTCCCTAAACCCAACCATCAAAAGCTCCCCCAACCCTTGAGATCACCACCACTTACTACATATAGCTGACAGAATATAAACACGTCTGTCAGCCCCTACTGTGTGTACAGTAGGGTTCTATACATGTACAGAAAAATTACCTCTCCGGCTGTACTGAGTGTGTTTTCTGTCTGTTTGTGTCTCGTGTTTTTCCCTCTTTTTCTTTAAGTCATTTTATTTTTATTTCTTAATAGCACAGGATATGGTGAGTGCTTGCTTGACGAGCCCGTTTCTAGGCCGTACAGTCTCTCGCAGCAGCTGCCTGGACGGATATACAATGTCAATAAACAGTGTGAATTGATATTTGGGCCGGGAACGCAGGTGTGCCCTTATATGGTAAGTGGAGTTGGTGTGCGTATGTAAACTGTCATGTTGCACACATGGGTCTCTGAGGGAAACCTCTTGTGTTATGATCATGTGCTGCAGAAGTTCCCAGCTGAGTTTGAAGCCTTTAAAGTCACTCGCTTTATTTAACGACATACTGATAGTTCTTAGGTAGAAGCAAACAAAAACAAATGTAATGAATATATAAGACATGATATCTCAGCACTGATCAAGCCTGTTAATGACCCCTTAAACATGAATATGAGGAAAGGTGGAATCAGGCTCGAATCATCACTTTAGAACCATCGGGCTGTATATTTAACTTTTTGAATTTGAATTGAATTCTGCAGAAATGTCTCAGAAATATTTTTGACCCCCTCAAGCACTGTGAAATAGTTTGGCTTATATTCTCCACCCATACAGAAAGGTCATGTAAGACACTGAGAAACACCTGGCAAATGAGATCAAACTTACTGTACGGAGTCACCTTCTGGCATAATGTTTTATAATGTGTGATTAATTGGATCTCTGCCTACGGATGTCCATATTTTAAGTTATCTACAGTGAAGTTATTTAACATGACGTGTGTTATGTTATGTCTTGCTCTGATTCTCTAACTGTTTTTTTTCTGGAATCTCAGGGATAACACTGTTTGTGTGTGTGTGTGTGTGTGTGTGTGTGCGCGCGCGCGCGTGTGTGTGTTTCTTAGACCCAGTGTCGGAGGCTGTGGTGCACCAGTCCAGAGGGTGCCCAACGGGGCTGCAGGACCCAGCACATGCCATGGGCAGACGGCACTGACTGCTCCCCTGGAAAGGTAAGTGTCATGTGAAAATGAGGACAGATGCTAAGAGAGAGGCGCTGTTAATAAGCAAAAGCCTGGGATGAATGTGTGAAGGGGAAAAATATGTGAAGTGACTTTAACACATTGGCTTGCCACATTTTCATCCATTACATTAGGGTTTAATACTCATATGGTTCTGGGTTATGATCTGACAATCCTCACCGCATTTCCTTGTTTTGATCTTACAAATTTTCCAGTGATACAACCATAAAATTATTCACAGACGTGTTAATCCAGAGTGCAATATGACAACAAGTTTCCGAAAACTTGCCAAAAGTGAACTCCCCATTGACACATATGTAAACTCGAGTAATTGAATATGGAAGCCATGTAAGTAGGTGGTGTGAAGTTGTAAATGATTAAATGATGGAGGTTTCTTCACAACTGCCTTAGTTAAGCTTTTAATTATGACTTTCTCACTAACCCCTCACTTCCTGCTACTAAGACTAAAAACATGAAAGCCACACACACACACACACATGTTAAAACCTTTTCATGTTTACACCAACATCTCCTCATCCCATGCCATGCCAGTGTGCACCACATTAAACACTTAAACTGCAGTCTGTTTGATAAACAATGTAAGATCATCCTCCTGGTATAAGCTGAGATATATTTATTGACTATGTGCGTGATGTTTTCTTGTCTTCTGTCCAGCCAGACCCAGCCATGAAAAGTCTTTTTTGGTTCCTCTTTTTTCCATTTGCTTCACTGTATAATTTCTCCCAGATTAGCATCAAAGCACAAGAGAGCAGATAGATGTGTTGCCAGTTCCGTGGATAAGATTTCATGTGCTCACTCTGTCTGCTCCTCGCCCTTTTTGACCTTCTCTATCTTACTCCTATTTTTCTTTCACTCACTGACCTCATTCTCTCCCTCTGATCCTATTCTTTCATTTATCTGACTTCTGTCTTTTCTGTGCATCTCTCATTGCAGCACTGCAAACACGGCCTGTGTATAGCCAAAGAGCATGACGCCACACCTGTGGAGGGGGCGTGGGGAGTTTGGAGTCCTTTTGGTACCTGTTCACGGACATGCGGCGGGGGCATCAAGATCGCCGTGCGCGAATGCAACCGACCCGTGTGAGCAGTCCGTCTCTTTGTAGTCATGCATGCCTACTGGACCTTGTCTCCATCTTAGCTGCCAAAGTCAATGTTGCATAGATCAAGCCTCCTTAAGGGAATTCTTTCCATAGCTAGTGTTCATCAAGACAGGCCGTCTGATGGCAGATCTTACAGGGTTGTTTCATGGTAAATAAAGAGATCAGAGTCTCCTTGAAGTCATTCATCATGGTTTAAAGGACAGATAAAAAAACGAATGGGGTATGATACAAATGAGTTTGAAACTAACAACAATGCCACTGACATACTGTAGGCGTGTGATGGTGGGCAGTAAGGCGAAAAGGAAAATGGGCAGATAGATGAATGTTTGAATCTGTAGGGGAATGGGGGGAGGATGCTTACTAAATCTTCTACCTAGGATATTTACTAAATTCAAACAATGATTCATTTCCTCAATCTTGCTTTCAGGCCAAGGAATGGAGGAATGTATTGTGTGGGACGCCGAATGAAGTTTCGTTCCTGTAACTCTGAACCCTGCTCAAAGCAGAAGAAGGACTTCAGGGAGGAGCAATGTGCGGCTTTCGATGGCAGGCATTTCAACATCAACGGTCTACCTCCTAATGTTCGCTGGGTGCCCAAGTACAGCGGAAGTAAGAATCTTTTTTTCTGCTTGCTCCTTTTGTCAACCCTGTTTCACTCATGCATTGACATCTGTTGGTATTACGTTTCTGTCTCTGTCTCCTCTCAGTCCTAATGAAAGACAGGTGTAAGCTGTTCTGCAGGGTGGCAGGCAGTACGGCCTACTATCAGCTCAGGGACAGGGTTATTGATGGCACACCGTGTGGACCCGATACCAACGACATCTGTGTCCAGGGCCTGTGCCGGGTAAGGTTCTTATTAACTTTAAAACACTCAGCTGCATGGTTCAAATGGATATGTGTAGTTCATTTTGTTATCATGGCTATAGCTTCTAACAGTGACCATTCTTGCACACAGTTACTGTGTGGAGCAGATATAATCATTTCTATATTTTTAGAGAATTTCCATCGTTTGCCAAACCAGATGTTTGTTGCCTCAAACCTGTGACAGATTGAGTTTTAGTTTGAAAGCTTGATTACTAACATACTATACACATCAATATTCTGCTTGAAAGAAGCAGTGGGTTGTTCTGTGTACACTTGAAACCACACACAGTGTTTTGGTTAGATTGTGGTTCAGAAAGTTGCCTTCCTGGCCTTGGCAAGTGGATTTTGATCCATGCTGTGGCATTAAAGCTAAGCTCTTCATCCCTTCATAGAAAATCAAAGATGTCTCTTGCTATAACCAATTACAAGCAGACCAGCTCATGTAATTTTCAGTGTGGTTTTTGAAGGAAATGTATTTCAGATGGGTGTCAGTGATATGGACACAACTCAATCAGTTTTTATGCAACTATTTTAAGGGTCACTGGGTTTGATTCTTTCTTTCATGATCTGCATTTCATCAGGAAATAAACAAGTAATGGCCAAGTAGAAAACATGTTAACATTGATATGTTGAATTCCTGCCAAGTAACTGAATTAAAGAGTGTTGGCTGAAGAAAGTCTTTATTTTCTTCTGAAAAATCAGTCTGATCCCTATTTTTGTGGCCTACCAGTGCATTGTCATGTAATGTTATCTGCACATCCTTTATCCTCCATCCTCTCTTGCTTTTAAAACTTCTCTTCCACTTTCTCTCATTTTGTACCTTTCTTCCTGCTACCTTTTATTTTAATCCAGGCATTTTCTTATTTTATATTTTCTTTATCCCTCCCTTATACCTATTTACTGAGCAGCAAGCCGGCTGTGACCATGTATTGAACTCTAAAGCCAGGAGGGACAAGTGTGGTGTGTGCGGAGGTGACAACTCTTCCTGCAAAACTGTGGCAGGCACCTTCAACATTGTCCGCTATGGTGAGCTACAGCCTGTTTCATTATAGTATCGTTTCACTTTCAGTGAGTATAAACGTCAGCAGCTCATGTTATATTGCATCAACATATTTTTACATGTACTTGTACATGTACAGTCACCAAACTGAATAGCACTGACGGAATGGCTCATTTGTCAGCGTAAGCACAGAACTCACTGTACTAATGATCTAAACCCACTATTGATGTCATTTGCAGGCTATAATGAAGTTGTGCGAATACCCAGTGGTGCTACAAATATAGATGTGCGTCAACACAGCTACTCAGGGAAACCGGAGGATGACAACTACCTCGGTAAGACATCCAACATTTTGTTTAAAATAAACTACTGTTAATATTTTCATTGTATTTCTACATTTGAGATAATACTGTTTACACTCATTCCAGAAGCAATGTGCGGTTGAAGGCGTCTACTTTGGCCTGCATGTTTTGTTTTGTCTGTGTGCCTGATTGTCTATGTGAATGACGGTGTTCAGCTTTAAGTGTAAAGTCATGTACTGCAGACCTGAGGTCTTGGCATATAGTGTGTATGGTACATATTAATGAGCCAGAACTAGGCCTCTGGGTACCATTCCTGCAAGGTCAGTTGGTTTATAAACATTTGTGTCTCGAGTGTGTAAATGTGAAGGTGTATATTTTCTTTGGTTCTATAAATGTGTGTCTTTCTGTACCATATGCCTGTCTGTCAGCCTGGATACGGCTGCTTTGGCTGCTTTTAGTGTACATGTCTTGTTGGCACAAGCGTGCTAATACCTGAGCTCAGATAGCCCTCTGGCTACCATTCCATCAAGGTCAGCAAGTGTGGGTCTGCATGTGTGGTGTGTAAATGTCTGCATATTGCTGTTGTCATTGTTGTGTGTGTTTTATTATGTGTGTGTGTGTGTATGTGTGTGTGTTTGTTTGCCTGTATGCTTGATTATATATCAGCGTGGAAACTTTTGAACATGGTTTTTCAGTTCAGTCATCCTTTTATTGCGTGTGTGTATTTATATGTATTTGTTTATTGGCACAGTCATTAGGGGCCCAAAGTGGAGATGATTTTGCCGGAATGCTCTCCGCGGTCATATTAGTGTAATGTGTGAAATGACGAGGAAAGTAAAGGCAGGAAATTAGCTCCATAATCGCATTAGGGTGAATGAGTGCAGCAGACTGGCTGTTGAGCAGAACAGGATGCCCTTGGATGGGACTTCTCCAGGAATGGAGGATTATTTTACCCCATAAGGCTTTACTGCTGCCTACTGCATGTGCTTTACTGCAAATAAAAACATTAGCCACTGTGTTGCTGAACTGTAAAAGCAAGCAATTTTTTTTCCTTCTGTAACTAGTTAGTGTCATAAGAACAGTAACTTTCTGCAGTTGTCTTGTGCCAATTAAGCAAAGATAGTTTGAACTTAAATTGAGAATGGCTCATTCTGGCTCTGTGTGTCAGTGGGATCAAGCACAGTGAGTGAGTGTTGTTTTCTGTCTCCCTGCAGCCATATCAAATAGCCGTGGAGAGTTCCTGCTTAATGGAGAGTTTGTGGTCAGCATGTTCAAAAGGGAAATCAAAGTAGGAAGTGCTGTCATCGAATACAGTGGTTCTGACCATGTCATTGAGAGAATCAACTGTACTGACCGCATCGAGGAGGAGATCATTGTCCAGGTAAACCTGTTCTTGCAGGTGAAGCAAAACTAAACTGGTTTAAAAGCAGTGGCATGAGTGAAACTGTGCCACTGCAGGAACTTAAATGCTTCTAGAGGGTTGACTTCCAAAAGTTTTTACTTTTACTTTGAAAGTATGTGGACAATCCATAATGTTAAAAACCCATATTCTGAATGTATTATAATGCATATCACATTGCCTGCATTTTTCCCAGGTGCTGTCTGTGGGGAACCTTTACAACCCAGATGTCAGGTACTCTTTTAACATCCCCATAGAGGACAAACCTCAGCAGTTCTTCTGGGATGCCTATGGGCCCTGGCAGGAGTGCAGCCGCCTGTGCCAAGGTGAGTGGGAGGCACAAGAGCTTGGCACAGTGAGGTGATGGGAGTGGTCAGTGATAAATGGTGTGGTGAGCGTAAAGATGAGATGGAACAGGGAGAGGAGACGTGGGAACCACTGAGCCAGAGGCATAGGAGAGAGAGGATTGTCTGGCTAAACTTGACAGGTTCATGCTAGACATATAGGTTTGGAACAAGTGATTAAAGTTAGAGTTCATAGTATGCTGCTGTGGCAGATTACCTTCTTTGGCATGACTCTAGATATGTCGGAGTATGTGGGCGTGCAGAGGTGGATTGCAGGTAAACTCGAAAACCTGTTATGTTATGACTCAAATGCTTTTTCTCAGAGTTTCCTTCTCCAATGTTTGACACTGGTCTGCTTGAACAACCAACAGTAAATTCCAAAGAGAAACCAATGAATTCACACAGCACGATAAACAGCTAACATGTAATGCCCTCAGCACCTTTTGATTTTCCGATTTATACAGCTTTTTTTGGCAGTCTGGGACACACTAAGCTTTCACAGCACTGAGCTGCAAAACTTGGTAACATGAGGTACTGATAGAGACTCTATTTCCTGGAGCCACATGAGGTTTAAATCTCTCTCCCCTACTGTAAAGTTTGTGCACTGTGATTCAGTGCAGAGATGACAACACAAGACCCAAGGTGAGGCACACACACATTGTTGCTGGTATTCGTTGTTACCCTACGATGATCTATATTGTACTCGGGCAAGCTGTTGCGTCGACTCAGTTAACTACTTGCAGGATCTTACAGAAGCTGAGGTCAGGCAGTGGAAGGTAGTGGATTTTCATTTAAGGGTGAAGTTATGAAACCCTAGATTGTAACAGTAGTCGTGAATTTTGCACACATGTCTTTCTCATCAAGGAAAAACATACACAGGGAGCGAAATAAGTTCTATTTATTTAAAAGTGGCTTTTAGTCTAAATATTTTGTTTGTTTTGGAACTGTAAGAGAGACTTTTGACTTTTGAAATTTACCTGCTGTCCAAACTTACATCATTGTGTCTTCATAGGAGAGCGCAAGCGGAAGATTCTCTGTAGTAGAGAGTCAGACAGGGTGGTGGTGTCAGACCAGAGGTGTCACGGTGCAGCTAGACCTGCTGTCATCACTGAGCCATGCAACACTGAATGTGAACTCAGGTTTGTACCAGTTAAATCAACTTTTAGAACCTATATGAACTGATTTATGTAGGTACTAAAAGTCTTCTTCACTTAGTCACTTAAAAAGACTGACAAGGATTTGCTCTATCACCCTTGATGCAGGTGGCATGTGGCTCGTAAGAGTGAGTGCACAGCCCAGTGTGGCCTGGGTTATCGTACCCTGGAGATATACTGTGCCAAAATCAGCCGTACAGATGGCAAGACCCAGAAGGTTGACGACCGCTACTGTAGCGGTCAGCACAAACCTGATGATAAGGAAGGTTGTCATGGGGACTGTAACCCGGGTGGCTGGGAGTACTCGCCTTGGTCAGAGGTAAGATTGTTGTAGTAAGCGTGGGGGGTTTGTATGTGAGCATAATCCAGATGTTTTGTCAAAGTTTATCATGGGTTGTATATATGTGTTTACACTTGCTGATGTTGAAACGTTTGTACCACAGTGCTCCAAGAGCTGTGGTGGGGGCACCCGCCGTAGAGGGGCAGTGTGTCGAAAGGCAGCCGAAGCTGGCGGTGATGAAAGCAAATGCAGTCAAAGGGACAAGCTGACCGTCCAACCCTGCAATGAATTCCTCTGTCCACAATGGAAGACTGGCGACTGGTCTGAGGTCAGTTTAGCTCTAATTGAATTCTCTTTGCCCTTAGAGGAAGACCAGTCCGATATTTACTGGACAGATACGGTGTTCCATATAAAGGAAGTGAATTGATTAAGGAGATTATATATAGTACATATATAAATATACATGTATAAATATTTCCTCTTTAATTTCCAATCATATAAACAGAAAACATTGCAAGGAATGATGACCATGTCATATATGAGCTTCAATTGTGGTATACAGTGACATAAGGCTTTCAGATATACATTTATCTGTGAAGAAGACCTCCCAGTGCTTATGTAGCCGAGTTTAGTCATTGTATAGAGAAACAGACTATACTGTAAATACTGTAGTTTTAAGCCAGGAGTGATCTGGGTCAAAAATAAAATCCCAGTGTTGATTGTGCATGTCTCAGCTTTGGGAGAGTCACTCCCCTCCTTCCACTATAGTGAGTCTTGGGAAATCTGTGATTGCAGGGTAAGATCGTACTTAACTACTGTACAGTTTACACATTGTAGAGCGAGGTGCTTGCAAAGCTTTGGGCTGCATTCCAGGAATATTTCAGATCTCCCATGTGGTGCTGCTAAATACAAACACCTACTGCACTGTATACATATGCACTGTACTCACACATAAATAAACACTCTTGCCCTGTCTTTTTGTCTCTTCCAACCGCCATTTGTTTTTATAATCTGCATATCCTGCTTTCCACGACACCAAGTGATCTTCCTCTATCATGAACTGGAATTCCAGCAAACTCAATGCCTGGTAACAATCAGTGCTAATGTAATATATTGTATTTATATTTATCTTTGATGAAATATTCTCCTTCCAGTGCCTGGTTACGTGCGGGAAAGGCTATAAGCACCGCCAGACCTGGTGCCAGTTTGGTGAGGACCGTTTAGACGACGGCTTTTGTGGCTCATCTAAACCTGAGTCTGTGCAGACGTGCCAGCAGCAGGAATGTGCCTCTTGGCAGGTCGGACCTTGGGGACAGGTGAGTGTTAATAGTGTATAGTGTACACTAGACTTTGTTCAAACACAAAACACAAATGATCGAAAGAGTTATTTAAGTTAAGTTATAAAAGTTAGGTGCTGATGCAGTGGTACAACAAGCATACCTACATAATGTGATAAATAATCAATTTATGTTCCAGCACAGGTGAAACAGCAGATCACTAAATTTGGTCTGTGATTGGAAATTGCACTGTTAGCTTTAGAGACATCAAATTTGCCAGTTGACTGCATGAGATAAAACAATCTGAATCATACATGTATTGTTCATCTGTGCTTTATACGAGTCTTCATATCAGACAACGAAGTGCTGTTTTATTTCAATGGTATTTAAGAGGCTATTCCAGACATGTTGATAAACAGTCACTGCTTTCATATATAGTAATATAGAAGTCTACCCAGTTGATGGGAAGCAGCACAGAGGCTGACATTTACAATTACTGTTGCTTCTCTGATGAATTCTCTCCAGATGTAGACCAAGGGGAGGACAGATAAGCTAAGCTCATCATTTAGCACTGTCCCCTTTTCTCTCGCCTGTTTAGACACAGAGCACATCCTGCCAAAATAAATATACAAAAGCTATGGATGATCTAGGCATGTTCTTTTACAACAGCATTATATAGGGTTATGCATACAATATATAGTGTCCGTGTGTGTCTGTGTTTGCTGGCTCAGTCTCATTTGTGTGTGTGCACAGAGAGCTGAAAAAATGTGAGATATTTTGTGCCCCCCATCAGAGGATGTGCGCACGTTAAGGTATATTTGAAGTCATTTAATGAAGCGTGGTCAAATGGTAGTTGAAGTTGCCGCCACACAAGTTTGACCCTGTTTTATTGGAGGCAGTGAGGCAGAAGAGAGCGTGGGGTAGCACCCTCTGACTTGGCTACAGTGGAAAAAAGACAAGTGCAATGTATATGAGCAATGGTTCCTCCTGTATTTGGATCTTAGTAAGTGTGTGAGGGGAGCAGAGTAATAATATTAGCCTTTTTATGTGCTAAGGTGAGTTTACAGTTTTTTTGATTTATTTGTGTGTTCAGATGAACCGTCTGCTTTTTTGCTTGCCTTCTTTGTCTTTTTCTTCGTTTTCTCTTTGGCTCACAGTAATGCACACACACCCCCCCCCCCCCCCC